CTCCATAAGATCACCATCATTAAAAATAAATCAAAACTAGTTGCCACCAGTCCATTCTGACTCATAGCAACCCCATGTGTGTCAGAGTTGAACTGTACTCCATAGGTTTTGCAATGGCTGATTTCTTGCAAGTAGATCACCAAAGCTTTCTTTTGAGGCACCTCTGGGTGGACTCAGACCTCCAACCTTTCAATTAGCAGCCGAGAGCATTAACCGTTTCCACCACCCAGGGACTCCTAATACTAATAACAAGTAAAAGCAACAATCCCTGCATGGTAGAGGCCTTGATTCTTTACCAAGTGCGTTCACACCCAGATTTCCATCTGCCTCTCATGACCATCTCGAGACGCCTTCAGGGCACAGAGTTGGGTCTCCATGCCATAGCAGGGAAACTGAGGCACAATAGCTTGCTGTAAGAGTGAGTGGCAGGGCTGAAACATGGATCTCTGCCTCCTTGCTCACCTCCCCTCTGCCCTCTGCTCCTCAGTACACGGCCCAGGGCGAGCCGTTCACCAAATACGTGGACAGGCTGTGCCGCAAAGACTTGATGAGCTTCCCACCCTTCCACGCCAACAGTACTGAGAAGGACAAGCTGGTGGAGCTGTATCGCGTCATGGCCTACTTTCACCTCTCCCTGCATGACGTCATGAAGTGCCAGAAGACCCTCAACCCCAAAGATCAGAACCTCCACAGCAAGCTTAACTCCACGGCGGACACCTTTCGGGGGCTTCTCAGCAATGTGCTCTGTCGCCTGTGCGACAACTACAACGTGAGACTGACCGACATGATCAACGGCCTCAACACCTCGGAGGAGGACGTCTTCCAGAAGAAGAGGCTGGGCTGTCAGCTCCTGTTTAAATACAAGCAGGTCATCGCCGAGCTGGCCCAGGCCTTCTAGGCACAGGATCTTAAAGTGTGCTGTGGATCAAGGGATCTTGGGAGCAGGATCTAGAGGTAGGGGGCTCTCACAGTGTGGCACAGGGTCATCACTAAGAGCAAATGGGGCTGCTGGCAGAAACTGTGGGGCTCCCTGCCAGTCCGCTCCACTGAGGGGTGGGCTGGGATGTAGCCAAACAAGGTCAAAACTTCCTTAGGCATGGCCTCGATACCGCACCAGTTAAAAGTGGTGCCTCTTCCTGTGGAAAATGGCAGCCAAGCTTCAAGGTGTCAGGCTGGCGAGTGGAGTGTGACTGGACTTCTGCCCACACCTGATCCTCTGGCGTGGCTTTAGACCTTGAGCAGACAAGGGCAAGGGAGCAGTTAAGGGGCCCTGGAACGGTCCTTACCCAGCACTCTCCCCCTGAAGATGCTCCTGCACAGCGGGAAGCTTTTTCTTGGGTGTCCCAAACATCAGGGAGGACTTGAGGACCACGCTGAGGAGAACTTAGGAAGCTGGAGCTGTGGAGGGTGGCGGGGAGGGAGCCACTGCTCCTGCTCTGGAGAGGGGGGCATTACGCCACACACCTTCACTCAGAACAGGAGTCTATGGGCCCCTGCTGCCCCAGCTCCCAAACTCCCTCACCTGGTTCTGAGCTCTGAAGCAAGGAACCCAATC